ACATTTGTGGTCGTTGTTGAACCGTTCTTAAATTTTGGCTCAGTAAGAAGACCTGCCGAGTGCACAATATACTCGTATCATTAGGGTGCAATATAATGAGATGAGCAAGTCACCTTGCGCGGTCTGCCGGTGTCCATGGCGTCCATTGCGTCCAGTGCATCCAGCTGCTCCCCGTGCTCGTGATCGTGCTCCGGCTCGTGCTCGTGCTCGTGCTCGTGGTCGGAGTCAGACTGTGTGCCGCTCTCTGATTTCATTTCGATGTTATCTATTTAACAAAAAACAAAATGTAATTTTTACGTTTCTTCATATGAAAGTGGACACAAAAAGGACTTAGAAAACAAGAAAAGATCGACTGATAATTTGAAAGTCCGGCACGCCTGTCGGAGGACGGACTGAAACTTTAAGTTACTTGTCTGCCTCTTGCCCTAATTGCAAACAAAAACACATTTGTCTCATCGTCGTTTGGTACATTCTCACGGCGAGGAGTTCCCGACACATCGATCCTTTAATCCTCACCGGCAGCGCCACCGACTTGTATTAGATTCTCTACAATGCAGCTGATACTGCGCCCTCGTACCTTTGCCACGGGTTTTACAATCAATATCACGCAATTAGCTCTCTTTATACAACAATCATAAGAACTTAATTCGTTTGGTAGCCGACCTGTGTGGGGCCAACCCCGCGGGAGCTCACCTCGGATTCAAACAAAACACTCTTTTTGTTGAGCACTTAACGTCAGTCGACATTAGTCGCACTATTTATTTATTGTAATTGTATTTATGCATCAGCTCTGCAGTAATCCGCTCGCTTTACAAACGGCCGGAGATTACGAGAGGAATCGTTCATTATCTGCGCCCTGCGTCCCGCGCCCTTCACCCTGCACGTCGCTGGGTCAACTTGCTAGTTGGCCTTAATATGTATTAACAATAGGCCTATTTTGTTAACTCGACATTATCGATGTCAACTTTTTTTTCTATTCGTAATGTCACAACGAGTTTATTTTTGTGTAATAGAAAATGTTACTGCGATGTATACTTTTTTGATGAATATGAACATTAGGTTTTGCACACAACTTCGTCCGCGCAGAAATAAAAACTAAGTAAGACGCCTCC